TGTACAAGTAAATAGATGTACATATGTATGTATGTATAAGTGTAGAAAGTAAAGTAATCGTTATCATGGAAATGCAGAAACGGAGTGGGATGCAGCTGTATGTACCCATATACATACATACATTTGCATATGCAGCTCACACTGTGTGTATGCCCATGCAATAATATGTACAAATGTACGTACATTTTGTTTATATACCATATTTTTGTATTTTATTTGTATTGCCAAGAATCAGCCAGCAATTTTGGCTATATCATGACATGTATGGTGTGTGTATAGATATACATTCATATGTATGTATGTACATGCTTCATGAAAAAGCATTTACTTTCGTTTACTTGCATATGTACATAAGTGTGAACAAATGTATGTGTACGCATAGTCGCAATGCCTGGGATGTTTGCATATGTGTATGGTATCTATGCGCGTACATATATACGTATGCATGTATGTATGTATGTGTACAGAGTTACACCCCTTAGCAAGTTAGCAATTATTGACACTTGTATTTTTGACATAAATATATATGTAGGTACAAGTATACATATACATATACATATGTTTATTGATATATGTACAAAGGTACATACATAATTGGAGACATTCTTACATATGTACATATGTATGTAAGACATTCCTGACTTAGTCAATGTCAAATTGGTTGCCATATTCATAATTAATAAATTACCATATTGATAAAATAAGTGTACAGTATAATATTAATAAATATGCATCTAGAAATTGACGGAACTTTCTTTGATTTTCAGTATTTTTGCTCTGCTTGTTTGTTCTTGTTGTTCTTATCACTCCCACTCACACACAGAGTCCCTAGCTGCTGTTATCTCAGCGAAACACTCTCACTTTCATCGCTAGATAATGCTGCGTTGCGTATAAATACATAAATATGTACATATGTAACATATGTATATGTGGGCATGTGTATGTATTCGAGCGATTTCCAGAACATTTGAGAAATTATTCAACGCTAGCCAGAGCCAGAAGTTTCGTCGTTGGCTTTCCGCGACCCGCCGTCTCCCTCATTCGCACAGGCGCGCCCGTAAGCAAAAGCCACCACCCGGCCAGCTATAAATAGCCGGCGCGCTGCGTAGCCGACGTCAGTTTGATTCGAAAAACCGAAGCAATCAGAAATATCTGCACAAGTCTCTAAGCGAAGTATTCCTTGAAAGGAGTCAAAGCCACAGATCGAAAGCTAACTGAAAAGCAAATTTGTTTGAAAGTAAAAAGTTCGCTACAAGGAACATCTGCGTTAAAGTATTAAGCACAAGGAAGTCGAGAAAGCTTTAAGAGTTATCAAGATGGCAAATCTTCCACTTCTCCTGAGCCTGGCTGATGACCTGAACCGCCTGTCGATGGCGCCTTTCTATGACACGCCCTACTACTGGCAGCGCCAGCAGCGTAATCCCCTTCTGGCGCTGGCTGCCGTGCCCCTGGACCAGCAGCTGCGTCAACTGGAGAAGCAGGTGGGCAGCGTTGCCGGACCGGTGTCCAAGGTGGGCAAGGATGGTTTCCAGGTGTGCATGGATGTGGCCCAGTTCAAGCCCAGCGAGCTGAACGTCAAGGTGGTGGACAACTCCATTGTCGTCGAGGGCAAGCACGAGGAACGCGAGGACGACCATGGCTACATTACACGCCACTTTGTGCGCCGCTACGCCCTGCCCCAGGGCTATGAGGCCGACAAGGTCGCCTCCACCCTATCCTCGGACGGAGTGCTCACAGTCAACGTGCCGAAGCCGGCGGCCATCGAGGATAAGGGCAGCGAACGCGTCGTTCAGATCCAGCAGGTGGGACCTGCCCATCTCAATGTGAAGGAGAATGCCAAGGAGCAGATCGAGCAGGATGGCAGCGGCGACAAGTGAACTTAGCATCTCATGTAATCCAAAGTCATTTGTAGTATTGTAGAATGCATTAACATACTATTAATCAATTATCAAAGTCAATGTCTGTTTTATATTATAACCCAACATACATACATATGTAGGTGTGCCATACATACATATGTATGTCGATATGTCAAAATATAAATTGTATTTCGTTAAGCTTCATTACAATTGTGAATTGAAAATAAACAAAAACCTGTTTCAGTAATATGTAAATAAATTGCGTTTTCATTAGGGGTTTGGGCCAATTTGGCAGGAAATGCAAAGAATAGTCCACAGATATTACGGCATACATATGACCAAGTACATTACAGAATACAAGTACATTACAGGTACATAGATTTTCGTAAGGCACTGCAAGATATGTACACCCGTGTACACATATACATACATACATACCTATGTATGTACTTGAGTGTCAGCCTATGTCTTCATGTACATACAATGTACATCCATATATAAAGATATGAATGCATGTACATATTTACAAAATAACCCATACATACATATCATATTTGTATGTACATACAAATGCATAAAAAGTTTAACAGTTACTGCTTTCCTTTTATTAAAAGCTCAAAAAATAACCCTTGAATTCGACTGCGAATTTCGCTACAAAGAGAATAACGAAATCCGTATGTACATACACACGCACACATACACTCAGGTATATACATACATGCATATGCATGTTTGCACATACAATAAACAAAAAGAATGACAAACAAACCGGTCTCGGCAAACAGAGATAGCACGAGTTCATTGTACTTGCGAAACGTCAGTCTTATTGTATGCGATTTTCTCCCTTCGGACCCTTGAACGCACTTTAACATTTTAAACAGATGAATTAACAACAATGGCAAAAATGCAAAAGGAATATAAAAATGCAGGCTCTTAAAATAAATGTACTCAAACATATAATGCATATACGCATGTATGTATGTATATGGGAACAAGCAGAAACTCCAAGAAATTGCAAGAACTTTCCGTGTGTGAGAGAGGCAGAAAGATCGAGAGAACAAACAAAACAATTTGCCGGCGCACACATACACACGCATGACGACAGAAAGAGCGAGCAAGTTCAAGAGTGAAGAAGCAACAATCAGTAAATGTTTGCATGTATGTGTGTGTCATTTTGGCGTCGGTATAAAAGCCCGCTGCGCCGTCCGCTCCTCTTCATTTGTATTCGAAGTGTTGTACTAAGCGTATCTGCTGCGCAGAAGCAAACAAAAAGTGTTAATTAAAAAAACTAAGCACACAAGTAAAAAAAAAATAAAAATGTCGATTGTTCCACTCTTGAGTTTGGCCCGAGATCTCGATAGCGCCTACAATGACTGGGACCATTTCCTCGACGATGACTTCGGCTTCGGAGTGCACGCTCACGAGCTATTCCACCGTCCACGTCTGGTGATGCCACACCAACTGCATCGTCGCCGCTCTCACTTCATGCCATACGAGAGAAACCATCATCAGTTGGTGCCGGCACGTCGTCGCGGCTCTGTTGGACAGAACGCTCTGCTACCAGTCATTGGCAAGGATGGCTTCCAGGTCTGCATGGACGTGGCACAGTTCAAGCCCAGCGAGCTGTCCGTTAAGGTGTTGGACAAGACGATAATTGTCGAGGGCAAGCACGAGGAGCGCGAGGATGGCCACGGCATGATCCAGCGCCACTTTGTGCGCAAGTACACCTTGCCCAAGGACTACGATGGCAACGATGTCGTCTCAACAGTCTCCTCCGATGGAGTGCTTACACTGAAGGCACCTCCGCCACCCAGCAAGGAGCAGGCCAACAAGGAGCGCATCGTGCAGATTCAACAAACAGGCCCTGCTCACTTAAGCATCAAGCCGCCAGAGAGCGCCACCGACGGCAAAGGCAAGAGCGAAAATGGTGAAAAAATGGAGACTGGCAAATAGAGAAGCGAAACGAAAAGGAGGTTGAAAGGAGGAAACTGAGTGTTGCCACACTGTTCGGAGAGTGCAAGACTTAAACAACCTACTACACACATACACAAACACACACACACACATACCAACACATCGCAATCGAAACTTCATCGCATGTTAGCAATAAGAGATTTTAAATGCACCCATTTGCAATGTAAGATTTCCACTTGGTTTACTCTATATGTATTATGTATTTTAAAAATACTATCCATGTAAATTCATATTTTTGTAACATGTAAAGGAACAGCGGCAGCACTCGAACTTATGTATTTGCATTTATGTACACTGTGAAAATATAATAAATAAAAAATACGAAATTAAACGAATGGTTTTTAATGTATGTATTATGATACCAAAAGCTCCCTTTGGACGATGATACAATGGGCCCTTTTACACATGTTTCCACTTGGCGAGAATATGAACTCCAGCTTTGGGTTTACGGATTTATTGAAGGTTACGAGTTTGATGCATAAATACATGCATGCATACATACATATGCATGTGAAAATTAGTGACATAGACACGTTATTTAGAATGTGTGTATGTACTTTGTTTCTTCATGCGTAAATAGATACATACATATGTACGTGTTTATAAATACATGTGTGTATGTACATATGTGTGTACGTGCAAATGAATTCTGCATGGACCCTAATTTAAATGAGCTTCGAATTTAAAATGCTTTAGGCTGTATGTTAATAATAGTATATAAACATTAATATGTGCATATGTATATACATAACGACGCATACATGTGTATATAAGTACATATGTACGTACGACAAGTACATTTATCTGTATGTAAGTTTCAAGAAATGTATTTTTATAAAAAAGGAGTTCAAAAAGTGCAATTCAAGTTGACTTTTAATTTGCTTTGACGGTTTACAGTCTGCCAATCTCTCTCTTTCCTTTTCACATACTATATTTATTCACACTCACACTCTTGGCACTCTTTTTGTTTCACTCATTTGCGTCACACACACACTCTGGCAAGCCCGCGATGTTTCTCGATTTGTTTCTCTGTTTGACACATAGCACACACACACACACACGCACCAGCAATGGCTCGATATTTCTAGAAAATCGATTCAGCCGGCTATAAAAGCGGTTGTCGAATTCAGTTTGCTCACAGTTGAAAAAAAGTATTCGTCAAGTAAAGAGCTTCGCCGAGCAAACAAACGCTAAAACAATTTCTGTTTTTTTTTTAAAACTATAACTGAAAGTGTGATTACAAGAAATATGTCGCTACCTCAATTGATTTCGCTGGTCAATGCGCTACAGGAGTCCCGCGACCCCGACTACGATTTTGGATTGGGCGTGCAGCCGCGCCAGCTGCAAATTTGGGCCGCACCACAGTTATTGAGTCCTTGGGAATCCGCTCATCTGGTCTGTCCCAGCTCGCCGGCCGCAAAGATCTTGGCCAAACGGCGCAATCGTAATTTGGCAAACGGAGCAGGTGGTGACGGCGATGGACTGCGTTGGCCTGTCTCGCAGGTGGGCAAGGATGGCTTCCAGGTGTGCATGGATGTCACCCAGTTCGCGCCCAGCGAGCTGAACGTCAAGGTGGTGGACAACTCCATTGTCGTCGAGGGCAAGCACGAGGAACGCGAGGACGACCACGGCTACATCTCGCGCCACTTTGTGCGTCGCTATGCTCTACCCCAGGGCTATGAGGCCGATAAGGTGGTCTCCTCTCTGTCCTCCGATGGCGTGCTCACTGTGAGTGTGCCGAAGCCGCAGCCCATTGAGGACAAGTCCAAGGAGCGCGTAGTTCAGATCCAGCAAGTGGGACCCGCTCATCTGAATGTCAAGGAGAATGCCGTCGAGCAGAAGCCGGAGGAGTCGAAAGCCGAGGCCACCAACGGCAAGCCCGCCAAGAAGTAGAAGCTAGCTGGCGGTCATTCCCCCCATTCCTCCTCATCGCATACCTATGTATTTATTAGAAACCATATATGTTATAACGAGCTAAAGACTAAAAATAAACTAATCTTGGAAAACCAACTGAAACTGAAAGTTTCTTTTTATTATATTTAGTCCAGAAAATTTGGTTTTTATTTATTAATTTATTTATTGCGCATTTAAGATTATTTCTATTTATTCGAAACTAATTGAAATTCTCGATGCAGCTCGTTGGCCATAAATAGACAGGTTCACCTTGAATTTGAAAAGTTCCCCCAATGCTGCCCGCCGCTGCAAGTGGGACAGGTGGGGGCAGCAGCAGGATTCGGAGCAGCTGCTCTACTTCCAGGGCAGCGCCAGTTTGCCCGTCTCGTGAACGTGGACCAGGCGCTCGCCGGGACTGTAGTATTTGGCTGGTGGCGGTGGCGGCGCCTTGATGGTTAGTATGCCATCGGAGGAGATGTCCGAGATGACCTCGTTGGCATTGTAGCCGCGTGGCAGCAGATATTTGCGCACAAAGTGGCGCTCCACGTAGCCGTTGGGGCCTTCGCTGCGCTTGTTGTGGTTGCCCTGGACAATGATGTAGTCGTCGTTGGTCTTGACGACAATCTCCTGCGGCCGGAACTGGCGCACATCGATGTCGATGCGGAAGCCCTTCTCATCCGCATGCACCCGCTCGCCGGAATAGTAGTTGTCCCAGCGCATGGGATATGTCCACTCGTGGGGCGTCGATTGGATTAGCTGGTTGCGCACCCGGCGCGTTACCAGCTCATCCAAGGGCCGCAAGTAGTCGCTGCTGCTGCGGGTGGAGGGAGAGGGCCACCAGACACGCGGGTCGTCCCAGAGATACGGATACAGCTGGAAATCGTAGGGCGGCTGATAGATGGGACGCGGTCGGTCCAATTCCCGGGAAAGATCACGATATGTGGTCGGCACCAAAGCCATTGCGCGCCTAAAATTCTTATAGAACCTGTCGACGGCGCTGTCAGTGCTTTTATAGCCCAAATCCCAGAGACGACGACCAAATTGGCCTCGGTTCGAGTCGGATGCGGATGGGCATCGATGAATCATCATTCGCCCGATGCGCGAAGGCCAACAAACAAGACACAAGCGTGCAACGGCAATTTTATTGGACGCGAGTCAAGTGGACAACGTCATCAAGGAACGAGGCGTGGTCAAAGGGGGCCTGCTGGCAGCAGGCGGGGCACAAGTGCAAGTGGCTGATGCCAAGCATAATAAAACGAAAAAAGTATCTACTTTGCTTTTGTTTATGTTTATTTCATTATTTCTATATTATTTGCATCTAACTGTAAAACTAGGAGGAGGTGCCATAAGGCATCGTAGGGGTTAATCTTTGGCTGAATTTACTGCTCCTTCTGTTTCTCCGCGGGCTCCTCCAGCGGTGGGTTCGGCTTCACGTTCAGCTCCGCCGGTCCGGTCTGCTGTATGGGCACAACACGTTCCTTGAGCGCTTCCTCGACAGCTGGTGGATTGGGCACATTGATGGTCAGGACGCCATCGCTGCTTAGGCTGGATGTGGTCTTGTCGGCCTCGTAGCCCTCGGGCAGAGCGAAGCGACGCAGAAAATGGCGAGAACTGTAACCGCCCTGGTCATCCTCCTGCTGCTCGGACTTGCCCTCGATGACCACGCTGTTGTTGACCGTCTTCACCGTCAGCTCGTTGGGCTTGTAGTCACTGACGTCCAGGCACACCTGGTAGCCCTGCTTGCCAATGGTTGCCGCCGGTGCAAATTGTTTCTCCTGGCTGCGTGCAATCTGTTGCCAGTTGCGGGGCACCGCCAGGCCAGACCACATGTGCGGCTCGTGGAAGAAGGCCTGGAATGGCGATACACGCGGCATCCTGGTCAGCTCCTCGGCCATCCGTAGAAACATGGGCAATGAACGCATCTTCCTGGTTAACTTGTGTAATGTCTGCAATTTGTGGTGAAATTCTCTTTCGCTGCTGCTGCTTGCTTCACGCGAGCTCCGTTCGCTTTGGCTGATTTTATTTAACTGTGGAGAGAGCGCGACGCCGGCTGCTATTTATACGAAATTGCCGCTGCGCTCGAGAACGTTCCGGCGCTCTCTCGACTTGGCAGCTGATGCAATATTCAGCGCTTCTAGAATATTTTTACCTTTCTGGCATTTAACCAACGTTTGGCTCGTGAACTTTTTAAAGTAAATACATATATTTTCGATTAATTTCACGTTCATCAATCAAACTTTCGATTATTCTTAAGCACTTTTTCTAATGCGACACGGTTTGGCGGCATTTACAAAATATTTAAGGCAGGTCAGTTTAGTAACGGAAAAGAGCGAAGCAAATGTCAGATAAAAAAAGAGAATATGTGTGCGTGTGCTCAGCCAATAAGCTCGAGTGTGCGTGTGTGTGTGAGAGAGAGTGAGAGAGAAAGAGAGAGAGGGCAAAATCATGGGCGTAGTGTGAGGGTTCGCTCAAATTTGTTTAAACTTGAGTATTTACTTAGCTGTAATTTTAATTTTAAACATTTTTCGCGTAGGCTTTGATTAAAAAATTCACACATACAGAATATTACTCTAGAAAAAATTGATCAAATTTGAAAAGGGGCGCTAAACATAAACTTAAACATGGCTCAAAATTTATAGCCTCAATCAATCAAGAGATTTTCTAGAAAAAAAAAAATAGAAATTTAATTTCTACAAGTTTTGATTTTGTATTCATTTTGGGCAAACAAAAATGAATCATCTACTTACTAATTATTAAAAAAACCTTTCGTATTCGGTTTGAGAAACGTTAAAGATAAGAAATGATAAGAAATTCTAGACTACAAATGTTGTTCCTATATATAGTATATATTCACAATCAGTAAAACGATTTGTGTCCGCTGTAAAGCGTTGAAAATTTAAAATATTTGTTTCACTTTAAAAAACTTGCTTTTAAAATCGAATTTATTCCGAAGCCATATTTGCTGTTGTGTGCACAAATCGTAAAATGAATTTAAAAATTGTATGTGAAATATGGAAGGCCAAAAACAAGTGCAAATGGGAAGGGTATTCGCGATCTCACTGTGGCAGACCCTCCTTTTCGGCCCACTCCAGCCAGGAGCCGTGATAGACGCTCAGGCTGTAAGAATTCCATATATTTTTGTTTTAAATTCGGTTTTATTTTGTTCCAAACTCACTTGGAGAAACCTGCGCTCTTGGCGATCTCTGCGGCCTGCTGGGCCCGCCTGCCGGAGCGACAGGTGAATATTATTTGCGCATCGTTGGCCGGCCTTGCGCGTCCGTATTTCTGTGCGAAATCCTCGGCTGCTGACTTCAAAGCGGACTCCAGTTCGGGCACTGGAATGTGAACGATAAAACAATAAAAGAGAGAGTCCAGGGCTTGGCTCGGAGTTAGTCACAGGGTATATTGAGGCTGGAGGGTATGCTGCCCGTAGCCGCCAGTTCGTCCGGATTGCGGACATCGATCAAATAAGTCTCCGGATGATTGGCCACATCTTTGACTTGCTCGTAGCTGGCCGACATAATGCTGTGATCCAAATGCAAATGATCAGTACTCGATACGGCGCTTTCACCACGCTTGCCCGACGTCGGATCACTAAGTTCTCCGCTGGGCCAAGCGCCGGCGCTTATTATAGGCGAGAGCGCGGCTACGGCCAAGACGATGACGACAGCGTCGACGGCGACGACGACGGCGACGGCAGAGCCGATGTTCAAGTTTACCAGCCGCATGCTAGAGCTGAAATAGACTAACCGCAGCTGGACTTCGATTGAGAATCGAAATCCAAGCTGTAGCCGGTTTCCATTGTTGTCGCTTTGTGGTTAAACGCTGGCGACACTTTATCGCCGCCGGCCAATCATCGGATTTCAGCTCAGAAGCTGCTGCTTCAATGCGATTTGTTTGGCAGACGCCCAGACTTTGATTATTTGTTGTACCCTGAACCCATTAAAAATGGGTAAAAAGGGTATAAGGTATTTGTGCAAATGTATGTAACAGGCAGAAGGAACCCTCTCCCACCCTATAATATATATATATTCTTGATCAGCATCAACGGCCGAGTCGATCTAGCCATGTCCGTCCGTCTGTCCCTATGTATGAACGCAAGGATCTCAGAACCTTTAAGAGCTAAAGACTTGAGCTGAAGGTCCTCCTAGTACCCGCGCAGATCGAGATTCTTTCCGATATCCGATAACTTGCCCCGATTCCAAGTAATCAACTATCGACATACTGTATTTTGAGCAATTTTGGTAAATAATATGAGCTAAAATCACCAAATTTGACATGTAGCTTCCAGAATACTATATATATATATCAAGTATCTTTCATTTTATACCTATCGCCTGTTGGAAGAAGAGGGTTCAGGGTATGCCCTAGTCGGTAGCTCCCGACTAGAACCTCTTACTTGTTTTTTTTTTTTTAAATATATCGAATTTAATTTCGAACTGCAATGTCTGCGGTTTTTCCTATTTACCCTTCAATTTTTCTATTTCTTTCTTTTTTTGGCTTTCGCTCTAAAAGCTCCAGCCGCAACTTCGAAAGCTTGAATTTGGTCCAGAAAATTCCCAGTTGTCGCTCCAATAAAGCTCGCACCGTGCCAGAGCTTTCGCATGTTCTGGGCCTATAAAAGGCGACCCTGAACACAAGAACTTCACATTTACGACGCGACATTCGAGTTGAATTGTGCTCGGCACAGACGCAAATTTGCACCCGCTGACAAATCAACCCTCACCCAAGGAAAACAGGTCGCCATAGCAGCTAGGTTCAGTGAACTTGCAACAGATACAGATACTGAGTCTTGTGAAATAATTGAAGGCAGAGAAAAAGAAGAAGAAGGAGTAGAAAAATGGCTGATATTCCATTTGTGCTGAACTTGGATGGGCCCGAGTCCATGTACTATGGCCACGATATGTTCCCCAATCGGCTCTATCGCAGACAGCACTCGCGCCATCATGTTCCCTTGGATTTGCACACATTGGGACTGATTGCCCATATGGGTGCTCATGCACGTCAACTGGCGGCCCAGAAGCACAGGGCTGAGCTGGGCACAACAACCGCCGCTGGCACGGATAAGAAGGGCAACTATCAGGTGAATCTCGATGTGGGCCTGTTCGAGCCGGGTGAGCTAAGCGTTAAGCTGGTCAACAATTGCGTCATTGTTGAGGGCAAGCATGAGGAGCGCGAGGACGAGCACGGTCACGTATACCGTCACTTTGTGCGTCGCTATCCTCTGCCCAAGGAGTACGATGCAGATGCCGTTGCCACGACTTTGACTGACGAGGGCGTTCTCACTATAACCGTGCCCCCGTTGGTCGCCGAGGAGGAGGGGAAGGAGCGTATTATACCCATTAAGCATGTGGGTCCATCCGACCTTTTTTTGCAGAAAGACAATGGACACAAGGAGCTGGCCGAGGGCGAAGCTAAGTAGGAGCCTAAATAGTCGCGCCACGAAGCAGCAAAGTGATTTCCTAAGACTCCCATTTTTATTGCACCCCGAAGATAATAAAATTTAGCACGCTACATTTTTACAATTCATATGTATTATTCATTGAAAAATTAACCCATTTAAACTTAACTATTTTACTAACTAGCTTAGATTTAAAAAGGAATCAATTATGGCGCCAGTATTAATAAATGTATTTTAATGTCTAAAATAATTCTGCAGTTGTCTTTTTATTTAAAAAAAAAATGGGCCTTCATTTTCTGTTTCAAACTATAAAAGACAACACGCAAAATGTTTGAAAACCAACATATTTGATATCTTTCTTCAGCAAAGTTAAACTAAAGGCCGTTAATTGCATCATATTGCGACCACAATCGCGTTAAAAAGATTCGCATTAAAGCCCTTGTAAAAACCATAGACAGTTAAGTATAAGAAAAAGAAGCGTTCAAAGTGGAGCTGAATCGATTTCTCAATTTTATTCGATTAGCCATGAAATATATCGGGCTATTCGTTTCTGTTATCGTGCTTTCAAGCAGCTGATAAAATACCGCGAATTCAAATTTTATACACTCGCAATTGGTTTTACACAGGAATGCGGTATATTATATAAAATAAGGAAGTATTAAAATTAATTTTCAAAGAAACCCAACGATAGAGCTTGTCTTTAAATTTAACAGCTGATGATTGACTCCGCATTTCAGTCCCAGTTCATGCACGAATGGCACAACCATGAGTATGGGCACACTATCTGACAGCTATACAGAAAATACTAAAGCTTAAGATATAAGTAAGAGCCCAATTGTATATGAACACTATTGAAGATTTTAATTGGCTGTTTTTAAAGCACTGACTAGAGTGACCATTTTTTTTGGTATTTTCAAATTGGTAATTTGAGTTATTTGCTAGTCGACGTGTACGGTCACACTGATCACAACAATAATAAATAAACATTAAAAATGCTGCAACGCGTACAACCGAGAGTAGAAAATCCTCGCTATGGCCAGCTGATCATTGGGCCACCTGGCTCAGGCAAGACGACGTACTGCAACGAGGCGTATAAATTCTATAAGGAGCTGGGCCGGCAAGTTGGCGTCGTCAATTTGGATCCAGGGAATGACAACATGGCCTATCAGCCAGTGGTCAATGTGATGGAATTGATCACCGTGGAGGATTGCATGGAGCACATGCAGTTGGGACCCAACGGAGCGCTCATGCACTGTGCCGAGTATCTAGAGCAGCATTTCGAGGATTGGCTGCTACCGGCGCTGAGGAAATTGAGTGCAACGCACAACTACTTTCTCTTCGACTGCCCGGGCCAAGTTGAACTCTACACTCACCACAATGCCATGGCTCGGATTTTTGAGCGCTTGGAGGCGGAGCGCTACAACTTGGTTACAGTGAATCTCATCGATTCGCATTACTGCTCGGAGCCGGCAAAGTTCATAGCCACGCTGCTGATGGCACTGAATACAATGATGCGGATGAGTTTGCCGCATGTGAATGTGCTGTCTAAGGCGGATCTGCTGCGTAAACACGAGTCCAAATTGCACTTCAACGTGGACTTCTACACAGACGTACTGGATCTGAAGTATTTGCTTGAGAAACTGGATGATGATCCCGCAATGCGCAAATATCAGAAGCTGAACGAGGCCATTTGCTCCATGGTAGAGGATTATGCCTTAGTTTCCTTTAAGCTATTGGACGCCTTCAGCACAGATAGTATGCTCCGACTGCGCAACCACATTGACAAAGCCAATGGCTATGTGTACAAGGCAGGCGAGGAGCAAACAGTTAACTCTTTGCTAGCCTGCGCCGTGGGCGCTGAAACGGAGGCAATGCGTCAGCAGCACGATATTGAACCTTATATGAAGCAGCCGTAGCCAACATATGCTTAAATTATGTATATAATTTAGTTGTATTTATCTTTTATTTGAAAACAAGTTTATCAACATCCTGTCGCCAAAAATTTGCTTCTTAAACTGGACAAGTCGTTGAACACATAAAATAGCGCTCTAATGATTGTAATTTCCTGTGATAAATATTTGCTTCACTACACAATTGCGGTACATTAGTTTCTTAAGCAGCTCATTGTACAAAAAAATTAAAATAATATCAAAAATAAACACCATTCTTTGCATTAATATTGCAAGATTTAAATTACAGCGGGCGTTCATTTCTGTAATATGTGCGCCCCATCACACAGACAAGTTATGGGCAGCACTGTTCTGCACGGTATCGTCTGCAATCGATACGCAGTGTTGCTATTGATTACCAATTGACATTAGTAGCCGTTACGAAAATATTGACCGCGCTCCAAGTTTAATTATAATTTCAATTTTGCAAGTTCAATGTAAGCTTAATACGCGCAAAGTATTTCATTCATTTATGTCTCGCTTACAATGTGATAAGCTGAATGGCGGCGTAATTTATGATTTGCGTATTTCTTATGTAATTTATTTATAATCTCAGCCTTGGAGTATTCGTTAGGTCAGTTTCATAATATCATTGCGAGTGAGAAACCGTTTTATCGCATCAAAGTTGCTGAATTGCACTCCCAGCTTTAGACTCAGCTTCAACTTGGCACATTTAAAGTCGATAAGACGACTAAAAAGTGAATTTGAAACGCGTACTATATAGAAATCAGCACATTTGACGTTGCCTCTAGGCAGCACGAGAACTTTGATTAGACATAAACAAAATGGCGACTGGCTTCAGCGCCAGGCCTATAAAAGCCGCTGGGAATTGGGACAGCTCCATTAGTTGCGATCGCGCGGTTGCCTCAGCCTACGGATTTGGATTTTGAACATGTTCCTAAGTGAATAAATTCAGTGTATTGTGTTTGTGATTATTTGTAAAGTGGATCTCAAGGATACGCAGGATAACGGCTTCTTTGGAATTTCAAGATCAAGGATTTAATGGATTACCAGTGATTTATGCAGTTGCCGTATTAGCAAGAGGATATCTTGCAAGCCATAAAATGGCAAATAATAAATATATGTACTTTTTAGCATGGCTGCTGATTTTCAGCCAAGTGTGTGCCGAAGAAGGCGATATAGTCATGTCTGACGATGACGATCAAAGTATAGAGTGAGTGAATGACTAAAAATCACATAATTAAATTGTAAACTATTGTCCTACTGCGGCAAAGATTTGTTACAACTTTAGGTGCAGTCAAATTTTTTTAAAAAACATAAATCTTTAAAATCCTTACAAGATGAAGGTGGAAGAAACTCCTTCTACTTTTGTCTGTCAATGTTGCTGCCCAATTCCGGGCGGCTTCCGCTACGGCACGCCAACTTATTTAAGAGAACATAAACTGCTTGAAACTATTTCGCATATTTCATAAATTTTATCTAATTCAATGCCACTTGGCACAATATTCGCTACTTGATAGTCCCCTGGTTCAGGCCGTGCCGGAAGCTGATAATCAGGAACGCGACGAGCGCCATTTAAATTTTAAAATTCATCGAGCGCCCGCTGTGAGGTACGATTCAGATAAAATAATTGCAAAAAAAAAAAAAAAATACAAAAATATTTATATTATATGATATCCTATAGTGCGCGCTATAGCTACAGTTACAATGATGGAGTTGGTCAAGTTGGAGCAGGAGGCGGAGGGGGAGGCGGAGCCGGGGGCTATGGTGCCCAGCACGGTGCCTTTATGGGCGGCATTAAGACATCGGGGTGAGAATTGGAACGAAAGTAGATTCGCTTTAAATACAGATTAACAGTTAATAAACTTATTAATTTAGTGCACATTTGATGAACAATGCGCTTGGCTTGCTTGGCATTGGCAAAGGGTAATACATCCGCAAAAGGGAATTCAAGTTTATATCTAAGCAAATCTGTTCGCAGTGTCAAGGGCAACTTTTATGGCAACGCGGCCCAACAATTGAGGGCATTTGGCAAGTGCGCCGCAATCACACTGCCGCAAAATGTGCTGTCCCAGTGCGATGGCAGTGGTCGCTGTCAGGTCTATTGCCCGGATGGTTATACCTTTTCCCAGGACACAAAACAGCTCGAGCTATTTTGCAGCAACGATGGCTGGATAATACGCAACTCGGAGTTTAGCAGAGTGCCGCCGTGCCAGGCGACATGCATGCCACCGTGCCAGAACAATGGCATCTGTTTGGCAGCCGGCGTTTGTCAGTGTCCGGAGAATTACTCGGGTCCGCTGTGCCAGCACAAGAAGTCCGTGTGCGCGTCCAAGCCGCCGGTGCCCAAAAACTCGAAGGTATCCTGCAAGAACAAGTAAGTCAGTCCTCGATATTTTCACATCAACCAGCAATAATGCATATTTATTATGAATGCAGCCTTTGCCATGCCGAATGCATGCGCGGCTTTCAGTTTCCCGATGGCAGCGGCATCACCAACATCGAGTGCCGCAATGGCCAATGGCTGCACTCTAAAACAGGCCTGGCCAAGATGCCAGATTGTGGACGTAAGTCGAGTCGGGTTCCCAACAAGCTGCCATTTTAAGCTGACTTTGCTCTTTTCCTGCAGCGACCTGCTCGCCGGCGTGCCAGAATGGCGGTCAGTGCATCAGCTTCAATATCTGTCAGTGCTCCAAGATGCATCGCGGCGCGTTCTGTCAATACAGTGAGCACATTAAGTGAATGTCCGTTTAAATGATTTGCTCTTAATCCTTGTGAAACTTCTCAGGCATATCGAGCTGCAATGTGACCAATACCCATTTTAATGGCAACTACAAGTGCGCCTACGATACGGAGGAGGCGCGCTGCACATTCAGCTGTCCGGAAGTGCGTGGCCTTAAGGTGCAAGGACGCTTGGATATTGAGTACAAATGCAGATATCAGCAGGGTGTCTATTTGCCCGCGCCATTGCCAAAATGCGTTTTTCGTAAGTTTCCGCTGAACTGCAGCTTTCAAAGATTCCTAAAAATTCATTTTCTATGCACAGCACCTGGATATACCATTAAATCGGGTAGTGTACAAGTCACGCATATGCAACAAGCGGGTCGCTCCTACCATGGTGCCTTTAGCGGAGAGATTACCTCAGAGCTGCGAAGTCAGCGTGAGATTCTGCTGGCGTTGCTGGCCAAGTACAAGGATTTGGAGCGCAGAAGTGTAAGTTAAGAAATTGAAAGTGTGCAAAACGCAACGTTGTTAATATTTGGCAGGAATGGTGGTCATCGGAGGAAACTGTGACAACTCTTGGCAGCTACTCCTTGTACATGAGCAGCGAGGTGGATGTAGTTGTTGATAAATCGCCCAGACCAGCGTTGTGCACCACCTGGGGTGGCATCAATATCAAAACATTCGACGGTTTGGTTTTCAAGTACGTATTCGATATATCGATAAGTGAACGGGTACATATCGATAGTTTTAAATGTGATCAATTGGCATCGATAATTACAGTTTGTGCTTATCATCTTATTGCCGCATATTTTATAAGAAATTTGAAATTAAATTTTTTATTCTTTTTCCAGGGCACCTTTGTCGTGTTCGCACACACTGACCACGGACAAGGTTTCTGGCACATTTGATGTAACACTAAAGGCCTGTCCTTATGGCTCTGGCTATGGCTGTGCCCACACGCTGAAGATTCAATGGCAATCGGTGCTTTATACGCTGGAGAACTTGAGTGAATAGCACACAAACACACAATAAGAGCTGTGGATGCGACTGATTAGTGTTTCCCTTTCAGATGGCACAATGCGCCTGTCTACGCCCACCAAACAGCTGCCCATTCCGGTGCAGGTGATGGGCATGAAGGTGATGCCAGTGGCACAGCATGTGCACATTGATCTGGAATCTATTGGCCTCAAGCTGGACTGGGATCACCATCAGTATGTGGCTGTGCATGCCGGGCCAGCCATGTGGGGCAAAGTGGGCGGTTTGTGCGGCTCCCTGGATGGCGATTACAGCAACGATTTGATGTCCAGAACTGGCAAGAAGCTGGAAACAGTCAAGGCATTCGCCGATGCCTGGCGTGTGGATGATAGCAGTGAAATGTGCCGCGTCGAGAACAGTGCCGAAATGGAATTTGGCATCGAATCTTGTGAACAGAGCAAACTGCAGAAGGCTGTCAGCACCTGTGAGCGTCTGCTGGCCAACGAAAAGCTGAGCGACTGCATCAAGCCCTTCAATTATGATGCACTCATACGCACCTGCATAGCCGACTACTGTAATTGTCCGAACCGCGAAAAGCCCGAGAGTTGCAATTGCGATGCCATTGCCATGTTAGCCAAGGAGTGCATGTTCAAGGGCATTCAATTGCAACATGGCTGGCGCAATCTGGAAGTGTGCCGTGAGTAGCTATGACCAGAATAGATAAATACTTCCGGCAATAAGATCTTTCCCACTCACTCGCCGGTTCTCTCACTCTTCTTTAACCTAGGTCTCACTTTCACTTTTTAAACAAATTTAAATTCTAAGTTTTTAGAAGATAACCCTTGCCCTAGTCTGCCTTAACATACATCTCACTCTATATATGTATATACGTACGCACTTACCCAAAAATTCATATGAAGACGCACGATTATTTTATTTGCATCTATAAACAGGAGGCTTGTATACGTATAAACACCTGTAAAAAATGAAGAGAATTAGAAAGGATAAGCACAACTGCAAAAGGAAGAGAAATAAAATGAGAGAGCTAGATCGAGAGCAGGCAAATAATTTATTGAAACTCACAAATTTTTTACATACGTTATGTAATAATTAAAGCTTGAAAGCCTGTGAGGCTTATTGAAATTCATGAGAATCGCATAGTAGGGCAGATCGTTATTTTGAAAAGGGTAGTGTTTAAGAATCAGGTTTCTGTAAATTGCAGCGCAACAAGTTATTTTATAGTGTATAAACGAATTTGTGCCTGTAGCAGAAAGATGGACCTATGCAAAGTTTTAAGACGTAGCTTTGCAACAAAGAGATTAGTTTGCTTAGAATCAGACAGACGGACAGAGGGTATAAAAAAATCATGGATATCGAGTAACAGAGTAATAAGAAAGGAAAGGGGCAGGTCTTACGTTGCATATATTTATATTTTGTATACTTAAGATGTTATTAACTTACCATTATGGAATACACCAACAGCTATTAGTTGCGGCTTTGGACGCGTCTATCGAGCCTGTGGACCCGATGTGGAGCCAACCTGTGAATCTGATTTGACAAGTTCTGCTCCAACGAAAGGCAAATGCAACGAGGGCTGCTTTTGCCCCGAAGGCACGGTCCAATATAAGGATGCGTGCATAACACGGGAGCTGTGTCCCTGCACGTTACGTGGACGTGAATTCAAGCCGGAGGCGACAATCAAGAAGAACTGCAATACGTGTACTTGTAAGAACGGGCAATGGAAATGCACGGACGATAAGTGTGGTGCACGTTGCGGTGCCATTGGTGATCCTCATTACCATACCTTCGATGGCAAGCGATATGACTTTATGGGCAAGTGCTCCTACTATTTGCTGAAGACGCCAAATATGTCTGTGGAGGCGGAGAACGTTGCCTGCTCTGGTGCCGTCTCGGAGGCACTTAGCTATGCGGCGCCCGATGATCCTTCCTGCACCAAATCCGTAACCATACGTTTCATGCTGCGCGATGGCACACCGGCAACAATCAAATTGGATCAGGGCCTGACAACTGTTATCAATGATAAGCCTATTGCCAAGCTGCCCAAGATGATGGGCCTTGGTGAGGTGTTGATACGACGCGCCAGCTCCACGTTTCTGACCGTGGAGTTTGCCGGTGGCATACGCATCTGGTGGGATGGCGTCTCGCGTGTATATGTCGATGCGCCAGCCAGTTGGCGTGGCCAAACGCAAGGCCTGTGCGGCACATTCAATTCCAATACACAGGATGACTTCCTAACACCTGAGGGCGATGTTGAAACGGCTATTGAAGCGTTTGCGGACAAATGGCGCACCAAGGACACCTGCCAGTTCCAGGCGGAAACCCATCAGGGACCGCATCCATGCACGCTCAGTCCAGAAAAGAAGGCGCTTGCGGAAAAGCACTGCGACTGGATACTGCAGGACATCTTCCAAGAATGTCACTTCATGGTGGAGCCGGAACAGTACTATGAGGACTGCCTGTACGATACTTGCGCCTGCAAGGATGAGCTTGAGAAATGTTTCTGTCCCATTCTCTCCGCCTATGGCACCGAATGCATGCGACAGGGCGTCAAGACCGGTTGGCGTATGACCGTCAAAGAATGCGGTGAGTATTAATTGGATTTAATTAAGAAGAATCTCAATCAATGTCAATAATACCCTTCAGCTGTCAAGTGTCCAATGGGACAGGTCTTTGATGAGTGTGGCGATGGATGTGCCCTGACTTGCGACGATTTGCCTGGCAAGAACAGCTGCACCCGGGAGTGTGTCGAAGGTTGCCGCTGTCCACATGGCGAGTACATCAACGACCAGGGCGTCTGTGTGCCCAAGCACAAGTGCCATTGCACTTTTGATGGCATGATCTTCCGGCCCGGCTATAAGGAAGTGCGGCCGGGTGGCAAATTCCTTGACCTTTGCACCTGCGCAGATGGCGTTTGGGATTGTCAGGATGCCGATCCGGGTGATGATGTTAAGTATCCGCCCTCATCCGAACTGCGCAGCAAGTGTGCCAAACAGCCCTATGCGGAGTTTACCAAATGCGCGCCAAAAGAGCCAAAAACTTGCAAGAACATGGACAAGTATGTAGCCGAGTCTGCGGACTGCCTGCCTGGCTGCGTGTGCATGGAGGGATATGTCTATGACACATCCCGTCTGGCCTGTGTGCTGCCTACAAACTGCTCTTGCCATCATGCTGGCAAAAGCTACGACGATGGCGAAAAGATCAAGGAAGACTGCAATTCGTGCGTTTGCCAGGCGGGCAACTGGAAATGCTCCGAGAATGGCTGTGAATCCACCTGCAGCGTGTGGGGCGACTCACATTTCACAACTTACGATGGTCATGACTTTGATTTTCAGGGAGCTTGCGATTACGTGCTCTCCAAAGGTGTTTTCGATAACGGCGATGGTTTCACTATTACCATACAAAATGTGCTGTGCGGCACAATGGGAGTCACTTGCTCCAAATCATTGGAAATTGCTCTGACTGGACGTGTCCAAGAGTCGTTGTTACTTAGTGCGGACGCGACTTATAGCGTAGATCCCAATAAGTCGCCCATCAAGAGTGAGTATTTTATTGTAGTATCGATATTGGTTCTTCTAATCAACTCTAAGTACTCAATGGCTTAAGTCGATTAACCGATAATTAATGAAAATGTAGCTTCTGGTATCGATATAATTCTGAAATACTCATAGATCGATTAGATTATAACGTATTTTTTTTTTTTCAAAAAGAACTGAGAGACAGCGTCAATTCCAAGGGCCACACTGCTTTCCACATTTACAAATCTGGCGTATTTGTTGTTGTTGAGGTTATTCCTCTCAAGCTGCAAGTTAAATGGGACGAGGGCACGCGCGTTTATGTCAAACTGGGCAACGAGTGGCGCAACAAGGTCAGCGGCTTGTGTGGCAACTACAATGGAAATAGCCGGGATGATATGCAAACGCCATCATTAGGTCTGGAGACGAGTGCCATGCTGTTCGGTCACTCCTGGAAACTGCAGCCACATTGTGCTGCACCCGTTGCACCAATCGATGCCTGTCGTCAGCATCCAGAGCGCGAAACTTGGGCGCAACTAAAATGCGGCGCTTTGAAGTCGGAGCTATTTAAGCCATGTCACGCTGAGGTGCCGCTGGAGCGTTATCTGAAGCGGTGCATCTTCGATACGTGCGCCTGTGATCAGGGCGGCGATTGTGAATGCTTGTGTACAGCTGTGGCGGCCTATGCGGATGCCTGTGCCCAAAAGGGCATCAATATACGGTGGCGATCCCAACATTTCTGCCGTAGGTTTAATCTTTGAGCCATCTTTTACTATTTGTAAACGTGTACTCTTGTAGCTATGCAATGTGATCCGCACTGTGCGGAGTACAAGTCTTGCACGCCTGCCTGTGCCGTGGAGACTTGCGACAACTTTTTGGATCAGGGCATTGCAGAGCGCATGTGCAACCGCGAGAACTGCATCGAGGGCTGTCACATCAAGCCCTGTCAGGATGGCTTCATTTATTTGAACGATACCTACCGCGAGTGTGTGCCCAAGGCTGAGTGCAAGCCCGTGTGCATGGTGAAGGATGGCAAAACTTACTATGAGGGTGATATTACCTTCCAGGATGCCTGTGCTACGTGCCGTTGCTCGAAGCGCAAGGAGATCTGCAGCGGCGTTAAGTGTGATGCTCCTGTTGCAGCTCCAACGCCGGCTCCATTTGTTGAAGGCACCACAGAAAAGCCGTTGGCTACGCAGAACCAAACCAAATGTGTGCGCGGCTGGACGCGCTGGTTCGACAACGATGCCGATGCCACGGAGAAGACTGTGCGTCTAAACGATGAGGAGAAGCTGCCGCGCTATGATCGCCTGGAGAACATCTATGGCACATGTCTGAAACAGTTCATGACCAAGGTGGAATGCCGGGTGAAGAACACGCATGAGCCGCCAGAGCAAATGGACGAGAATGTTGCATGCAGCTTGGCGGTCGGTTTGCGTTGCACTGGCAAGTGCCATGACTACGAGCTGCGCGTTTTTTGCCAATGCGATGCAGAGCCGGAGCCAACAACATCAAAGCCCATCGAGAAGCCGCAAATTGGCGCCAGCTGTGATGTGGGCGTTGTCGAGTACAAAGAGTATCCAGGTGATTGCCACAAGTTCCTGCATTGCCAGCCCAAGGGTGTTGATGGCGGTTGGGTATATGTGGAGAAGACCTGCGGCGAATTCATGATGTTCAATCCCACCATGTTTAATTGCGATCATATCGCAATTGTGCAGGAGCTGATACCTAGCTGCGGCAAGCGCAAGCCCGACCCCGAGCTGGAGCACATTATGCAGTGCGACGAGGGCAAAGTCTGGTCGGAGTGTGCCAATCAGTGTGAGAACACCTGCCACTTCTATGGCAGCATTCTACGCAAACGTGGTCTCTGCCAACGCGGCGAGCACTGCAAGCCTGGCTGTGTGGATAAACTGCGGCCGGATTGCCCAAAGCTGGGCAAATACTGGCGCGACGAGAATACCTGCGTGCATGCCGACGAGTGTCCCTGCATGGACAAGGCCGAGCAGTATGTGCAGCCCCACAAGCCCGTTGTGGGCGAACTGGAGATTTGCCAGTGCATTGACAATGCATTTACCTGTGTGCCCAACAAGCCGGAGCCAACACCTGAGCCAACGCAACGTAAGAAGCGTGGACAAGTTATTAAGCTTTAACTTTTAAATGTCTTAAACTTTTGCAGGACCATTTGAGCCAATTGTCACAATTTTGCCGGTTACTCTGACGCCGCCGTTGCACTGCGCACCCGAGCGGTAAGCTGCTGGCCTTTGAACTTCATAATAAATTCACTCACTTTAATTTTGTTTCGACAGTCTCATTCCGATGATTGAAAATGGCCCGCACTCATTGCCCGACAGCGTCTTTAATGCCAGCTCCAAACTGGCACCAGAGCATGCACCGTACAAGGCGCGTTTGTCCAAGAATCCGAAAACTGGCAGTGGCAGTTGGTCACCTCAGATCAATGATCAAATGCAGTACCTGGAGCTGAACTTTAAACATGCCGAGCCCATCTATGGTGTCATCATGGCTGGCAGTCCGGAATTCAACAATTACGTGACGCTTTTCAAGGTACAATAAGACAAATATATGGCGCGCTGTTGCTAACATTTAAGAGTTCTGTATAACATCTGTTGCCTAACATTTGCTGCACTGTTAAATAATTATGTAAATTGTAGATCCTGCACAGTCACGATGGCATCGCGTATAACTATCTGGTAGACGAGACGGACAAGCCGCAAATGTTCAATGGACCTCTGGATTCGCGTGAGCCCGTGCAGACTCTTTTCAAAATACCCATCGAGGCTAGCTCACTGAGAATATACCCTCTCAAGTGGCACGGATCCATAGCCATGCGCGTGGAGCTGCTAATTTGCGGCGAGCTACCAATTGTCACACAGCCACCCACTTTGCCCACCAGCACGGAGCGTCCGCCAGGGAATTTGGAGCTTGAGTGTGTGGATGAATTGGGCGTGGACAAGGGTGAGATGCATGAGCAACAGCTGCAGGCGAGCAGCTTGTGGCAGCTGCATCAAGCGGCAAGGAAACCACGTCTACTTGACCTGCTGAAGCTAT